ACAGAATTCTGACCCATGTCTTGAAACAAGGCTGTAGCTATCAGAGTGGGAGTTGACAACACCTGCCACAGAGAGAGGGCGTGGACTTTGCCGTCTGATTGGGCGACGTCACGGCCATTTCACCAAGTATTTCTGTCAGACCAACACTTGAGGTCTGCTGTCTGTGCGTTTTTTCGCTGTACGAAGCCGTTTCCAAACAATTTTTTTTTTTCTTTTTGTGGCTTTGCTTTCTTTTTGGATTTGTTGATTTCTTTGTCAGTTGGGTTATGGTGCTCCCAGAAAATCTCTGTGGTTTACTTTCTTTTTGGATTTCGTTGGCTTTCTTTGAGATTTGTTTGGAAACAGTCTTGGTTTTGCAGAGTTGTCCGAACAGACCATTCCACAGAGATCCCCTTAAGAGAGTGTAGCTTCTCGAGTGGCAAATCAGCACAGAGCATGTTCGTCTTTATGAGAGTGCGACACAAGGAGTGGCAGCTAGAAGTCCGTCTTTTCTGAAAGTGTGTCTCGAGTGGTCGCACTTGCCACTCCAGGTGTCGCGCCCGCCAAGATATGCTGCTAGCACAATCACTTGGACTCCAGAGCCGCTAAAACTGTATTTGTGCCATTTTTCGTTTCCGAATTGATCTGTTGCCTGCGATACAATTTTCGACGCCCAAATGTTCTTACTTGTCTCAATTTTTTGTGGAGTGCAGCCCAATCAGCTTACCTGATTTATTCTTTGTTTCTGAATGTGGTGATAATTCCTCCACATGGCCAACGCGTTCTTGTTCGCAACTGTAGAAATAGAGGTTGCAAACTTAAATGGAACCTTGAAGGTATGCGCAGACTCCTGCACGTCAACTTCCAACGCAGAACATCGATGAATTGAACCCAGACCTTGTTTCGACTTTCATTTTTGAGTTCTTGCTTTTGTACATGCAAAAACGCTCTCCGAGAACTCTTTGCGCGAACAGTGCTGTGCTTCGCAAAAAATAAAAAGCTTGGCTTGCATTGCGCGTGCCGTCCAAATGCTTCGCCGTGCCGTTGGCAAACGTGCCACCATTCGGCGTGCACCCCAAAGCGATTTCGTGTAACTTCTCTTTTCTGTCGTGTTTGTTTGATTTGTGTTGTCTCTCTTTGTCTTGGAATTTTATCGTTCTCTTTTTTGATTTCCTTTTGATTTGTTCTAGTTTTTGTTTTTTTTTATTTGTCTTTTTAGCAAGTTTGTGCAAGAAAAATCTTTGCTTCGCTTTTTTGCTTCAAACGCGGCAAGTTTGCAAGCCATTGTCATCAAAACGCGAGACTAACAAAGAGGCAATTGAGCTAATGCTTGTCGATTTTGCACTTTAAAAATTTTATGCTGTGGAGCGTTGCTAGTTTTTGTGTTGTCATTATGTTTGGTGCGCGTGCTTGTGGAGCAGCGGTCAGAAAACAGACCCTGGAGGCCCAGAAAAAGATGCCTTAGAGTCCAAAAAAAGATCCGGGGTCAGCTACGAGATGTTTCGGGGCCGAGAAAAAAGACCACATACTTCAAACCATTGGTGTCCGAAAAAAGCTCGTAGTCTTTTTCTGGGCCTTGTCGCAGGGTTGGAAAAAAGAAAGGGGGCGAAAAAAGACATTGTCGGGGTCAAAAACGAAACAGACCAATCGCGTCTGGAAAAAACATTTCGGGGTCGAAAAAAAGACCAGCCCCAGATCCAAGTCCAAAGTCATTGCATCCGAACGGGTGAGCAGCATTGTGTACAGTTCGGAAAGCAGTGAACGACAAAAATTCTTCAGCATTGCGTCGCTTTGCATTGTGTCAGTGAGCAATGATTGCACATGTGCATATGCAGCATTGTTCTGTTTGAGTCGATTTCAATGGACCGATTTTCACATATTCTTGTTGGAAAAATTTTCATGTTTTAGCACTGTCCAAGGCGCATTGGCCAAGGAACCGTGTTAGATTGAATAGCTATTTCACAGGCATTGTTGTATCATTGTGGCATATTGACCACTGCGCACATTGGCTCAAGACGCTTTGAAAAGACTCCCGAACGAGTGATTGCATTCTGAAGCTGATTGCATTCCTGACTGATCATTTGCTTGTTGATTGCAT